AGTCACAGGGAGTGAGACGCATCTACAGTCACAGGGAGTGAGACGCATCTACAGTCACAGGGAGTGAGACGCATCTACAGTCACAGGGAGTGAGACATCTACGGTCACAGGGAGTGAGACACATCTNTATGCCACGAAGAATTGAGGCAGTTCTGAAGGCAAAAGGGGGTCCAACCCGTTACTAGCGTGGTGTACCTAATAAAGTGGCCGGTGAGTGTATTCAGCTCATTGAGAAAATATTATGACAATTTTATGTTTTATCAGTTGTCCTCATCAAATTAGGAAAAGTCATGAAATATGAAGCAAAAGAAAAAAAGTTAACTACTATTTTTAGAATGATAAACATTGAATGGGCTCAAATTGACCCCAAAAACTATAGGAGGGTTAAAAGTCATAATAAATGAGCTTTGACACCCAAATCTAATCAGACTGAGTTCTACCCTAATGGAGTTACTATAAGTAAATATATCATTTCATTCAGGAGATCTGGTACACAAGACCACCGGTGATGTCCGGACCCCACACTAACACACAGCCAGACAACAGTACCTCCAGGCCCAGAGGGAGGACACTAAATAAAGACCTTCCATGTGCAAATATTTAAGGATTTATTATAGAAAAGAAAAAGCAGCCAACAAAACATGACATTTGGGAAAACAGGTAGAAATTTTAATAAAACAATGTTATGGATTGTTTTAGGTCACGTTTATATCTTAACGTTTCCCCTAAAGATTGTAAAACAAAAACTAAAATTGTTTCATATCAAACGGTACAAAAACTGTTTAAAAAGAAGATGGACAGGAGATGCAGGTTCCTCTACTTTCCTACAGTTGTCTTAAAAGACTGTAAATTATTTACACAAGAACAGGAAGCATAAAGAAAAGTTTCCATGAAGCACAGATCTAGTTCATCACAAGGCCTCTCCTCGCTCCGAGCAGACGTTCTTTCTTCTGCCTGCGGTTGTCCACTTCTTTCATTCTTCGATCGTCCCTGTGAGACAGCACAGCTTTAGGACATGACTGAAGAGGACCTGTAGTCCAACATTCATCCACACTCACCTGGACTGGACTTTGTGCTGTTTGTAAATGTCCTGACGTGGATTGGACACCACAGGTTTATTAGCTGATGTGTTTTCTTTGACTTCTCCAAAAGGTTTCAGTTTACCTGTAAAATAAAGATCATATTTTACAGGGCCTCGCAGAAACACTCATGCTTTTTCTGCTAACCTTTCTATTTTCATGACTTTCAGCCTGGAATTTAATCTATGTTCAGATTAAAAAGTCTTAAGGGGAAAGGATTAGGGCTGCAACCAACGATTATTTTAATAATCGATTAATCTGTTGATTTTTTTTTTCGATTAATCAGCCAAATCATTAAAACGATTAATTACATGAATGAGTAGATAAAAATTAATTTCATTCCTGTCTAAATTAGGGATGCAAGTTATTGA